TTACTATCACATACAGCAAGACAAAGAGAAGCAGCAAATCTCACAACGAAAAAGCTGGGACTGAATAATTATCAAAATGGTTGCTAATTATCTTTTCTGTTGGCCAGTTAATGAACTAACTGACATTGTTTCAGACTCTTTTAAGAGTCAGTTAAACAATGTTAACTGTATGTTCCCTGAATGTTGCGTTACATTGAAAATATTCCTATTGATTTCTATTTATTGAACACAGACATAACAACAGGAAACAGCTTTGAAAAGAGCAAGAAAAGATGGGCTTTGTACTGATATGTACTGACAATATAAAAGACACCACCAACCAAGAGTTTTCAGGACTGAGAAAAAAAAAAAAATCAACTCTAAATAAATCTGTGAGACAATGTTTATGACAGCTTATGGCTGACATCTCATCGTGCCCATGTATTGACAGTTAGTATGGTATATAACTCGAGTCACATCCTCAAAACTGGTTTGTGTTTTATGGGACAGAGCAGACATCTGCCAGCCCCCATGTTTCCCATTGGGATGGACCAAACATGGCCCTTTGAAGAGGGTGGCTCTGTATACTTATCGATTTCATCAAATTAACCTTATGTCAGGCCTCTTCTTTGCTTGATCAAAGTCACTGTTAAGAGCTATGCCATGACTTAAACAAGCCATTTTCATCAAAAGGGATTTTCATTGTCCTTTTGAAATTTTTTTCCCCACACACACACTGACTTACACTTTTTTTTGGTCAGGCTCCCATGCACTTTCACTGTTACAATGTCTGTGTGTCCTGGACCAGAACCTTTAAGACCCCAACTGTAATGTCTGCCACTATTATCACAGTGAAGCTGTCAGGACAGCAACAAAGCTACGGCTCATATATACACCTTTGGGATGCCCGTTTGATAAGTTGTCTTCCCAGATGAAATAACTGGGTTGCTAAGGTCGACTCGGGTCTTGCCTGAAAAGGAGCAAGAATGAGGTCTCAAGCTGGCACACCGGTGGTAGGAAGACTTCAAGCCATGAGTGAACAGGAGGATGAGAGAGCAGGTTAAGGGGGAGACACCCGTGGGAGGCCAGTAGGGGGTGGAGTGGTGGGAGTTTGAGTAGTGAGGGAGTGGAAAGGCCTTGATATCCACGAAAGGCACAACAAAGCCAGAGCTTTTTACATTAAAAAGACAGGAGATTGCCTTTTTTCTACTAGACGCCTTTTGAGCTAAGTGCCATGTCCTTTCTAGGCCTGCAGGAAGTGAGAGCTGAGCTTAGCTATAGCATCTGGCACATCTGAGGGGGCTGAAGTTCTGGACTTTTGGATACTTGCATCAGATTTACAAGAGACCAGTTGTTCTTGATGTTACTGGGTGAGGTGGGTGATCCTGGTTTAAATGTACATGGCTCTGACCCCACCGCACACAGCGGTGTGAAAATAAAAAGTACTGGCAAACTGGGCAGTCAGATTAAAGCAGGCCAATATTCTATTCACTACTGGATCTGACTGCTACCCTCTGCTTAGCAGTTAAGTATTATGGACCTTGATAAATAAAACTTACATAAGTAGTGACAAAAAGGTAAGAATTTAGATGCAGTTATGTTCTGTTTATGTAAGGGTGGAGGAATATTGACCTTTTCACACAGATTTTCCCTCATATGCCCCTAAGACAGGCATTAACATGCAAGTCATGAAAATCAGCACCAATATCAGCCACAGCAGGTGTTAACTGTTTGTGCAAGTGTGGGGAGATGAAAAGTTAAAGATGAATCATCAACCTGTTGCGTGTAATTGGCTGTTATGGTGAGGAAAGCAAACTGTCTAAGAACAGAGATCTCCTCTGTGATCTCAGCGGTGAGCTCACAGATTACATGACATCTCCATCCAAATGGGCTGTTTATACATGTTTATTACTTGCTTGCTCTGCATTTGCAATAGTGATGGATTCAGGGGAAAATGTTATGTTTCTAAAATGTATTCAATATAGGTTTGAAAAAGCATATATCATTCGAAATGCCTCGTTAGTAATACTGTATATTGCTAATTCAATTTTCTTCCATTTCATTTGGAACAAAGACAAAACATCTTTGACTTGCAATTGTCAGAATCAGAATCAGAATCAGAATCTGCTTTATTGGCCAGGTGTGTTGGACACACGAGGAATTTGACTCAGGTACATCGGCTCTCAATGTGCAAACAGCAAACCAGCATAAGGCTGTGTAATATAACAAAAATAAGCAGTATTTACAAGCAACAGAAAGTGCAAACAATGCAGAATAAGCAGTAAGGACAGACAGTAACAATGCAGACAACAAAGGAATGTTCTTTGTAATGAGAAAAGTAGGGATAAAAATAGAGTAATTAAAGCAGAGTACTAGAGACCTGTACGAGTCTGTATAATCTGTACAATGTATATATTTACAGATTCTTGTGACTAGATTCTCTCTACTCTGAAGACAAGCATAAAAATGTGGATTTAATAAATAGTTTTGCAGTGATTACAACTTCCTGAGATCCCTTTTCTTAAAGCATTAGCTGCCAATAAATACTCATTCAATAAATACTCTATCAAAGTAAAGAAAATGTTTGAGAAAAGCTCACAATCAGTTCATTTTGAGGTCTTCAGAAAAGTTTGTTGATTATTTTGCCAAAATAATGTGGTATCAAAACCACACTGGAACCATAGTAACAAGGTTAATGTTGCACCAATGCCAGGTAAGCCTATTGATTTAAAGTTCAAATTTGATTTTTGTTTTTCCAACTCATTCTGAAGTTGTAGATTCATTTCACATCACACCTGATTTGTCGAATAACTTATCTGCTCTTGAGCTAAAGGTCAGTTTACTCTACAGGTATATTATCATATTGTGATAAACAACAGAAATCAAAAACAGATAAGAACAAAAAATGAAGATATCATAAAAGATACTTTTTTCCAAAGTAAAGATCAGAATATAAATAATGAATTAAAGATACTTTTACAGCATAAGGGCAATGAGAAACGATACTAAAAGAAATAAAACAAGCAACTGATTGATTTGCACTGGATAATAACAGTACTTATTTCTATAACATTACTGACTAAGTGAACTACCTTGAACTACCAACAATATGGACTAAAAGCAAGTGAGCCAAAAGACTGGGCTGTTCACTAAGCTTTGATAGATTCTAGAGATCAAGTCGAGACGTACCGTGAGTTATGAATTACTAAACAAGGCCAGATTCAGCAGCACAACACAAACACACACAACCTTTTCTCGACAGGCACTTGCAAGTTCAAATACTAATCCTGAAATACCTCAGTGGTACATCCACTGACAGAGGACTGATCGTGTGTGTGTGTGTGTGTGTGTGTGTGTGTGTGTGTGTGTGTGTGTGAGTGAGTGAGTGAGAGAAGAGAGAGAGACGGGATGAAAACAATGGAGTCACATAACGTCCACAAATGATTTCTGAAAATGATAAATAAACCAAAAAGTAAGGGAACCCTTTGGAATTACCTGCATTTCTGTATAAATTTACCTTAAATTCGGATCAGAGCTTCATCAGGGTTACAAAGGTGAGCAAATTAATAACATTAATAATGTAATTACCTGTTCGTGTTGATACTGAATACATTGTTCTGACATTGACCGTGTAGGCTGGAAAAAGTACGAGAACCTCTAGGCTAATGACAGTAACAAAAGCTACATGGAGCCAGGAGTTCAGGCAACGAGGTAAGATTGGAGGTGTGGGTGACAGCTGTGTTGACTTACAGAAAACACTGATTTTGCTAATCACAAGAAACATGCACCAACATGAACTATGCCTTGCAAAATAATACATCTCAGATTATTTAAAAGCAAAAGTTGACTTGCATAAAGTTGGAAAGAGTTACAAAGTATTCTCAAAATGTTTAGATATTCATTAGTCCACACATGGAGATGATTTAATACCGCACCTACTCTCCCTAGAAGCACCCTGCAAAGTTTCCAAAAATACAACACAGAACAATGAATGAGAAGAAGCAGAGAAACAGCTGAAGGCTTAATGGAATCATTGGAGCTGGTTAACATCACTGTTCATGAGTCTACCTTACACCAATCATTGAGCATGGCTGCATGGAGGATGGTGTCCATGGCAGAACATCATTGCTCTCTAAAATAACTATCAAAGTGTGCAAAACAAGCATCTTGATGCTCCACAATATTACTGAGAAAATGTTTTGTGGACTGACGAAAGTAAGGTCAAAATGTTTATGAAGAATACGCAGCACTAAAAAGGACACTGCATGGTGGCTGTCCACCATCTGAAGCTCAGCAGTCCTTGGGTGATAAAGCAGGACAACCATAAACATGGGAGTTAATTTACTACAAAATAACTTCAAACCTTTGACTGTTTAAATACGAGACAGGTTAGCGACTCCCAGAAGTGAAGCCAAAGGTGAATCGATCACCCCCGATGGCTGGTTGCGGTCATAAATCCCACCTCCTCCATGTTAGTAGATGCGACATTAGCCAAACTAAAACCTCAAAGTGCAAATCAAAAAAAAATTTTCCCAGAGGTGATTTTTGTGGTTTTTAGTAGCTATTAACACACTGGTGTGTGAACAAGTGGCCGTTTTTCTGGTAAGTTTGTTTTAAACAAGTTATGTGATGATATAAAAAGAGAAGTATTTCAGTTGATGTGAAAGCTTTGATTGGGGGTCCGATGCCATCGCTCCACTTCTGGTTGCTACTGTGCAGAATCTGATTGCATTCACAATATTTTGGCTTGTTTAATGGATGTGTACAAAAAAGACACAAATGTGTTACCAACTTAAACACATTGCTTTTCTTTAGGGCCATATTTTATGACCAACTAATGCAAAACACCGGGTGACTCCAAGCAACTGATGCATGCATATGTAGCATGTTAACCTGCATTATGGTGTATACAAATACACATTTTGGAAATCAGTCAGTCATAAGAGAAATGTAAATGTTGCACAGTGTAACTAAAATGTTTAAATAAGCATTAACAGAGATTTAAGTGTTTATGTACTTACAAAGTCTTTCTCGAGTTTCTCCATTTCCTGCTTGTAGCTTTTCAGTCTGCTGTTGTACATGGCTCGACTCTGGACAGGGATCTCCCTCACTTCCAGGTCCATCTGCTCCAGCTAAAGTCCAGAGTTAATACAGTTAATTTAACTAACACTTCAAATATATTTACTGCCTAGCTAGCACTTGAAAATCAACTTCATGACTGTAAAATTCTCTGGAATATAAAACCACGTAATGGACAGGAGTACATACAGTTCATTCTGATCCAAATTTACATTATAATGTCAAAGAACTAACCAGTAAGGTGTAACCTGTTTCTAATTATAAATATTTTAAGGCACACTTGATCAGATGCTACAAATCTAGGCCTCTCTATTCTCTTACCATCTACATATTTCTGTAAATACTGCATTGCTACTGCAAGTCTCACAAAAAGTTATTCTCCATGACAAAAATGCTCAAGAAACTGTAAAAACTCCGAAACTTTCTGAAAGGCGTAACTTCAGCAGCATTAACTTTAATATGTTCCAGTGCCGATTTAAAAGAAAATGCCTTCTCACGTCACTCAGTTGTGATCAAAGTTGTGGCAGAGGAAGGCTGTTCTGTAAATAAATACACAATCAAACATGAAACGCCCTTCATTGCAGACATATGCAGGCCCAACAATGTCACAGTGAATGAAATAAAAGTACATTTGATGCATGGCTAGACGGGTCTCTCTGTGGCAGATTTGGAGGAAACTAATCACTGTGACATAACAAGACAACTGCAACAACCATTAGTCTCTGTCAGGTGATTTTGCTCATATTTAAACAGCAACATGAAGATTCCCACCTCAAGATAATGGCTTGAAATGTGTCACTTAAAAGCAGATTACTGGAGAGTAATCAAGTGAGGAGGAAGCCTCTTTTCTGCCATGTGAAGTGTCTGTGTCTGCATGTCATGTCACCACCGGGATAATACAAGTGCTGTTGTCTGATGCCAGTAAAATATATATATGTATATCACACCCTGCCTCTTTCCACAAATTCATTATTTAGGAAATGGGAAGAGGAGAAAATTACTGATCAAAGACATACCAACTCTCTGACTTCTTCAAGCTGTTTGTCGACATTTAGAACCAGCTGTGTCTTCTCCTCTGAAAGGGGGAGAAAAAAAACAGCAACATATTGATCAGCCGACAGAGAAACAGCACTTCATGACAACAACCCAGCTCCCCCGCAATAGGGGGAGAGAGAAGGAAGAGACTGGGAGAAAACAACACATGAGGACACATTTGAAGATATATTTATACATTCTCTCCACACGACGAGCCAACATTTGATGTCTCTTAGTTATTGGCGTCTATGAGGCCTTTGCTGGTTTCTGCAGGGGAGCAGTGAGACACCTTGTGCCAACTCAAAGGGAAGGGAGGTGTCAGCTTTGCTCACTTGCCAGAAGTATGAGTCCCACTCAGAATGACTAACGCACCATTCTACACATCACCCTGTGGCTGCTCTTCCACATTACCCATTGAAACTCATTAGGAACTGCAAGAGTTCCAAAGAAGCATGTAAACTACAGTGCATCCCCATCATTATTTCAGGAAGCAACCTCACCACTTAATTTTTGTTCATATAAGAACTTGTCCTTGTTCTGAAATTAGCTTTTTAGCATAAAAGTGAACCATGTGAAAAAGAGACATTTGGTTGTTCAAGCGATCAAGCATCATTATAATAAGCATCCAAACATATTTAAAAAAAACAGAAGTTATAATAAATGACAAAATGTATTTGACAAAGTACATTTTAGATACAGAAACAGATTAAAAACCAAATCATTGTTCACGACCCACACAGGTAAGGTACAAGGTAAAGCTTCAATGGCAATATCAACGAAGATTTTATGGTTTTGGGCCTGTACAGATGCTGCTTGATTAACTTCTGGTTAGCTCCAATGTACCTTTAAAGCAGGTGAAATAGCACTTTTATTGTTCTTATAACTACATGGAGACAATTAACCATAATAAGTGACAACAGGACCTTAAAAGTCATATATGAAGATAAAATCTTTTTAAAAATCTAACATATTAATTGCTAGAATTTGTTTGAGTTCTTGCAATAATCAATAACACGGCAGACATTTAGACTTGTTTAAAAAACACAGATGTTACCAATAACATTACTGATGGCGCAGGTCCATTGAATTCCACCAGAATATACACTAATGATCATATCAGATAGTATACTTCAACATACAGTACTTTACCACTTTAAGAATATGAGGCGTAAGAGAAAAGATCTGATATTTTTAACTCTTTCTAGCAGGGAGCGGGTCCTCCATCTCTTATGCTCATTGCAATGTGAGAAACAGTGTCCATGAGCAGCAAACTCCAAAAAAAGACTGTTTAGTATGAATATTCTGTGGAGCAAGTATATTTTTGTCTCTTTTTTCAGTTCAATACAGACTAAGACTTCCGTGGTATGGGACATGCAAACTGAGACAATGAACCAGCTAAGTAGAATTCAGCTATCATTTATATCTATGTTTTATCTAACACCCTCCCCCCCTTTCTAAATGTTGTCTTGCTGCCAAGACTCCCAGAAATGTAGCATTATTTGTGCCTGCATTTCTCAGGAGTATATGGTTCACCTCATCAATACTCTCAGACCAAAGCATCACAATTAAATACACAAGAAATAAAAACAAGCCTTACACATATATAGTATAGATGTGGCCTGCATTTCTCCTCTAAGCCGTCCTTTTGCAAGTGTCACTCAAGTCAAGCAAACTGAAGCAAAATGTTGTTTTAAGCATAGCTGTAACTACTAATGTCAGACAACAACTAGTGTCTGCCTAAACAAAGCACAGAAAGGAACTGAAGAAAGCATTTGTCTTTAAAAAGACATTTAATTTTAGTGAATCAGTTTTAGCATCTTTGCGAGACACCAATGTAAATATCAGTATGTCAATATTCTACTACATGAACTGAAAAGAAGTAATCCAAGACAGACTGGGACCAATTTCAGTTTTCTCTGTCAAAACATAGTTATCAGAAAATCTTATTACAGTGACCAAATCAAATATTTCACTTTTTAAATACTTTTACTTGGTATGTCTGTGCAGATTCTCAGTCATCCAGGTCATAATAAACTGAAAAAACTTAGAAAAAATCAACTGGACTAGATTTCTCGGAAAAAAACAGGCTGGGTAAGACATGAGCATCTACTCAAGACAGTATTTGTTGAGACAAACTTATACACAGTCTGTATTGTGCATGAGTGTGTGATCTATCCCATCATCTTTACCTTGTATTCAAAGGGCTATAACTATTACCAATCATTTAAACATCATTGTGCCTATCTATTACTAGCACACTGAACTTAACAGCGTGAATTTTGTGCTTCACATTTACTGCTGTACGAATAAGCAGATTCTGAATGGGACTCGACACCTGCCACCAGGTTGCAGTTTCACTTCATATGGAGACTACAACAAAGTCAAAGCATTCATATGGAGTAACAAATATGGTCTTGACTGAATAAGCACTCTGATTTGAACATGTGAATAGTTATTTGGCTGACATACAACATGAGATCATGTCATTCAGCCTTCATTCCATTTTTTATACCCACATATTAAATGTCACACATGCTAGACCGGGTATTGCAGTCATTTGCAAAAAATAAAACGAAGTCAATCACCATATGGACAATTTATCTGGACAAATTAACCTGACCATGTCTGGGGAGTGTTAAAAAGCACAAGCCAACAAACCTTTTTGACAGGAAACATAGTGATATGTCATAACATGAGAAGCACAGTGAACCAGCATACATAATAGGCTACAAGTACTTTAAGACGTGCACACCCAGGAGGAATGAAGCCACGATTAATATGCTATGACACGTCAGGATGTCTGCTGGGGAAAAACTTTCCTCCACACAGGTTTGGTCTCTTGCTGTAAGGTGGCAGAGCCTACAAGTCTATGTCTGATCATATTCTCATGGAGGTCCATTTTATGTTAACACACCAAACACCGAAAGACACTGTTCTGTCATTCCTTCAGTTTCCCAATAATGCCCAACTATAAAATTAAACTTTGTTGAGTGTGCCACAGAAAATCACTGATACCACTATGAGTTTAGCTCAGTGTGTTCAAATAACATTTGCATTAATAATAAAAGAATTCTTTCCCCAAACGAACAATTAAAGTTATAACGTTACCAAGCAAATAAGCCAGCCAGAAACAAGTGAGGCGTTCTTTTAGACAGCAAGAACACTACAGCTGTTTCATTATTTAGCGTTAGTGTGATAAACACTTTACTAGATGATAACCACCTATAACAGAAGATACAGCGACGAAATAACACAAGAAATGTAACCCAGTTAAGCTACAGCTTCTACCGTGAGACTAGCGAACTAGCTCGATTCCAGTTAATGAACATAACTGTCTTACCTCCACTAATTTTGGGAATTCTGCCAATTTTGTTAGTTATATCTGCTGTAATTGTTCCAAAATCTTGCTCGTAGGTTTCAAAGTCGGAAGACATTTTGACGTTTAAGTATAAAACAGGTGGCTTTCTGGTTGACAGTTAGCTCAGACTAATAACAACAGGGCTCCAAAGAAGTCACTTCCTTGAGTCGCAGTATAATATGCTCGGCAAGAGACTGCACTGGACCTTGTTTTTGTTTTTATTTTTTCCGACACTGAAAATGCTTCATTTAGTGTATATAAAATATCATTCATGTTTATATTTGCCTAACGAAAATACACGAAGGAATTTTTGCAGCTGTATAAAAGCTGAGTAATAAATTTCTTGGTTTTTAAAGAGTGTCCACAAGCGGTTGACGGTAATAGTTTCTGACAACACGAGGAGGTGTCCTCGGTGTAACAAGAAATTGAAGGGGGAAAAAAACCAAGGAAGTAGCGAGGTTAGTGATTTAAAGTGACAGCTTTTTTCTCCATTCATAGAAATTGTACATATACGTGTACCAGTAAATGTTTGTTATATCTTTAAGGTGCAGTGTTGTCAGTGTTGCCTTTTTGGACATTGTAGCAACAGTTGAGACCGATAGCTAGCTCCTGTAACATTAGCCCTGGCGCTAACACTTAGACCTGTATCAAACATTTTTAGACAACGGTATAATCACCTATCTAGTGTAATTTTTACGAGAAAGGTCTTAGGGGTTTAACTTGTGTATACGACAAACGTTTGCATAATGGTGCGCTGTATTTTATTTCTTGGTGCTAATTAGCTAGCCTGGTATCAGAAGCTTATTAGTCATTGTTGACATTACATTAAATGAGTGCTCGTATAGAATCGCTTCAACTTGTAGCACTAGCCATATTAGTGTGCTGTATGTTTATCGTGTTTAATGTTCCTGCTTTTAGGTAATCATCTACTTGTTCAATTTAGTGCGAAGTCCTGGCTGACAACATTGTATTTATGGCATAAATGACCAATGTATGAAACCTAAACATATATTTAAAAGGAAAAACTATCTATATTACAACAACGATAGCAATGGGAGAAATATAGCACACATGCAGATATTATGTTCACTTAATTTGTATCAGTGAGGGTAGACTAAATATTGGAAACCTTTGTCTGTATAGTACAATACAATTCAGCAGCACTGCAAACTGCTAAGAGTGAGAATCACATGACTGCTGTCAGTGTCAATATTTGACTATTAAACACATCATATGTTCTGAAATGTTGCAGAACTGGTTCTGGTGTTTTTAAAGCGTCTCTCTCTCTTTCTCTCTTTCTCTTAGATGGGGAATTTGAGTCTGACACAAGCGTAGTGTGCTCCAAAGATTAGGAGGAGAGGATGCTGCTCTTCGCCGGGGCAAGGAACAATGGGACACAGAGAGCCCCAGTGACTCAAGACCAGGCCAGTGACTGGGTACTCAGAAGACAAGAAAAAATATGTGCCTCATCTGCACTGCTGACTTTGCAAGATAGCAGAGGAAAAAAATAATACAGTGAAGCTTGTTCAGTACATTTTAGGAACTCAACAGTCAAAATAGTAGAACTAACCTTGTGGTGGGGAAAAAATGAATTTCCTGTCAACTTTTGTGACATTTGAGAGCCTCCATGAAGTTCGAAGATTGTGCCACTGGGGTCCAATCATAGCTCTGTCTGTCATCACTATATGCTCTACCATGGCAATTCTAGACTCCATTATCTGGTACTGGCCGCTAAACACTACAGGAGGCAGCATAAATTTCATCATGCTCATCAACTGGACTGTCCTCATCCTCTACAACTACTTCAATGCCATGTTTGTTGGACCTGGATACATTACTCTTGGCTGGAAACCAGTAAGGATAAAGCCATATTACCCCTTTTACCAGTGTTTGTTTAGGTAGTGAAAAAAGGTTTTGGACCATGGCTGCAAAAGACATAATGCAGAGCAAAACTATAAAACCTATATTAGACTTTTGACTTATTTGTTTATCCCAAAACAGGAGAATCAAGAGGATACCCAGTACCTACAGTACTGCAAAGTGTGCCAAGGGTACAAGGCCCCCAGATCCCACCACTGTCGCAAGTGTAACAGGTAGCTACATTTTTTACCAAAGTAAGAGTGGGGTTTCTCTCACATTAAATGGAAAATAAAAGACTACAGACACAAAACCACTACAGTGAGTCACCAGGCTATTTCCAGTACACCAAGCAGCTCACTCATGCTTGTGCATCATCTATTGCTGTAAAGTGCACACTTTCGGTGCATGTTATTTCTGCTTGTCTGGTGTGGTAAAGTGTGTGTGCGTGTACATTTAAGTTCTTCTAATCATTGCATATTGCAGTAGACAAGAACTGACAAACATGCAGAGCCCTGATAGGTCTGCCAATATGAACTAAGCCTGCGATTTTAATCAGTTATATAATACTCATACACATGGACAATCAGCTTTTACATCAACTGTCTTCTTATCTTGTAGAAAAAGGTGTAACATGGGTTACTGATGAACTTGTCGCTTTATGTCCTCCCAAACCACCAATCAGTTCCCCCAACACTCATCTCCTCTTCCTCTCCTTTCCCAGGTGTGTGATGAAGATGGACCACCACTGCCCCTGGATCAACAACTGCTGTGGCCACCTGAACCACGCCTACTTCACCAGCTTCCTGCTGCTAGCGCCAATGGGCTGCTCACATGCTGCCATCATCTTTATTATGACCATGTACACTCAGCTGTATGAGAGGGTCAGTGGTCTCCTTGCCCCACTGCACATTGTATTTGATGGCTTATTGTTACCACAGCTTTTGTCTAGGCAGAGTTGTCGCATTCATTTTATCATTTGATACTGATGTTACCACATGTCAGGCTGCTTTGTTTTATTTCACTGCAGATATCATTTGGCACTGTGAAGATTGACATGAGTCCTGTGCGTCAGTTCTCACCCCTCATGCCCTTCAGTGTTCCCGCTTTTGCTGCCACACTCTTTGCCTTAGGTTTGGCACTGGGCACCACTATTGCTGTTGGCATGCTTTTCTTCATACAGGTAAGTTTTCATAGTGTTTTGCATTGGGGTTAACAATTTACACAGTGTTAAACTATGAATTATTGTATTTAATTTGATAATTTTAATAATTGTAGCACTACTTTGTGTTGCTGTTGAACTGTGCTACATTGTGCCATCAGGAGTTTCCATTATTTAACCCATGTTCATTCATATAAATGATGGTGTGGGCAAAATAATAGAAACACCCCATCAGTAAAGTTCAACAGCAGCACAAACTACAGTTGAATTAACACCTTTGTCAGACAGTTTGAACAAAGACTGAACATTATCATCTTTATCAAGGGAGGAGTTAGTGCAGGACTGTTGTACTGGGCTCCATTAGTTTTAACCAGATGTGCTTAATAATACACTGTTATCTGGTGCTAAGTTGCTTGTGATACTGACACCATTTGTCCTTAGATGAAAGTCATCTTACGAAATAAGACCTCGATTGAGTCCTGGATCGAGGAAAAGGTCAGAATTACTCTGTGATTTCCAAAAACTTTATTTTATGAGGAAAAATATAAATATTTAAAATGTCACTTTTGTGACCAACATCATTTTACAGGCCCATCTGTAAATGCAGTGTACTTGACACCATACCACGCACCTGATCTTATTGACACACATTACTATCCCATGTCTTTTCCCCTAGGCCAAAGACAGAATACAGCACTACCAAACAGGGGAAGAGTTCATCTTCCCTTATGACCTTGGCAGCCGCTGGCTGAACTTCAAGCAAGTGTTCACATGGTCAGGGATGCCCAAGGGTGATGGCATTGAATGGCCAGTCTACCCCAAGTGTCACCAACACACCTTAACTGTAGGTTCACTTTGTTTGCGTTGCACTGCTGTTTTTGCTCTGTCTGTTACTGTTCTAGTATACACAGTGGAATGTGTTTTTATGTTAATTGATAAATGTATCCTTAATTTGTGGAAACGTTAAAAAATTTGATAAAAGTTGCGTTGCCTGTCGTGGTTTTCCTCTTTCAACAGATTGAGCAGCTGAAGCAGAAAGCTGATAAACAAGTGAGAAGTGTAAGTACCTGCCAAATCTATACTGTGACATCCACATAGCATTGATTTTACACATCATTGTTTAGGTTGGGTAAGAATAACCAGGTATCTTGTATGCCTCAACCAGCAGGTGCAATACCGAGCAGTAGAGAATTATAATGGAGCTTGCTGTCCTCTCAGCAAGGGTCTCCAAACCTTTTTCAGAACCCCTTGCACTGAGGAGCCCAGGATCCCACTCAGCAAAGGGGACACCATCCTGGCCACCCGTGGCACCAAGTAAGTTCATCCACACTGACATGTTTGCAGTCATTGTTTGCCTAGCTGTTGGCTGTGCTCCGGATAAGGATTTAGTGTGGAGACAAAAATATTGGACAAAAGCTATTGTTTTTGACTTTGTGAATTTTCCTAATTAATAAGTTTTCCCCCTTTAGATGGTGGATGTATGGAGACAAAGTTTTGAGCGAGGAGCAAATGACAGGTAAGAATGAAATGACAGATGCTTTTGCTGTGGCTGGAATTCAGTTTTTAAATTCTCTGTA